ATTTGTTTCTTTGTAGAAAAAAGACTGTTAGACATAAAAGAGTTAAGAAACTCATATGCATTCGTTGGCCATCAACACTTCATTTTCTTTAAAGCCTTGTGCAACTTGTAAGAATAATATTTTTTTTAATTGTGAAATTTAACAAAAATACAAGTGCATAAAACAAATGTAGAGCTTAAAGAATGATTGTAAAATGCACACTCATGTAACTCACGCCCAGGTCAACAAGATAGACCAGTATTACAGAAACCCCCCACATGTCATGTCCTTTGCTGATCGACAACACCCCCCCCAACCATTATCCTGACCGATACCCTTGGTAACCATTTCTTCCTTGCTTTTCTTTACAGTTTTACTTCCCAATTAGTTTTAAGTTTCTTCTTGAACTTTATATAAATGGAATCATAGAGTATGTATCCTTTTGTATCTGGCTGCTTTTGCTCAACATCATGCTCAACATCTGTCCGTGTTATACATATTTGTAGTTCTTTCATTTTGTTTTCATAGAGGCCAAATATGCCATTGTGTAACTATACCCTAATTTGCTTATCTCTTACGTTGTTCATTAACATTTTGGTTATTTCTTGTTTTCGGCTATTGCCAACAGTGCCAATAGAAACATACTCGTACAAGTGTTTTGTGTACACAAGCATGTGTTTTTTTGGAGTATATACTTAGGAGTAGAATCACTGGGTTATAGGTTATATTTAACTTCAGCTCTACTAGATACTGCCTAACTATTTCAGTATGTACTCCCACCAGAAGTGTATGGAGAGTTCCCTTGTTCCACATCCTGGCTAATTTTTGACATTGACAGATTTAAGTTTTTTTTGTCAGTTTGATAGGTATGTAATGATATTTTATTGTGACTTACATTTTCATGAGCATCTTTTTATATGTTATTGGCCGTGTGGATTTCTGATTTCTTTTTCTGAAGGGCTTCTTTATATCTTTTGCTCATTTTTCTGTTGGATTGTTTGCATTTATTTCATTGATTTGTAGTTTTTATGTAGTCTGTCAGACCATTGTGATTCATAGGGTTTTCATTGGCTCATTTTCAAAAGTAGATCACCAGGCCTTTCTTCCTAGTCCATCTTTAGTCTGGAAGTTCTGCTGAAACCTGTCCAGCATCATAGCAACATGCAGTCCACCACTGACATATGGGTGGTAGCCGTACATGAGGTGTATTGACCAGAAATTGAACTTGGGTCTTCCTCATGGAAAGTGAGAATTTTAACACTGAACCACCGATCATGGGAATGGTGCAGGGCTGGGCAGCATTTCCTTCTGTTCTGCATGGGGTTGCCGTGAGTTGGGTGCTGACTCCATGGTGGCTAGCAACAATGTAGTCTGTATTTGAGTCCTTTGTTATACTGTATGTGTTGCAAATATCTTTTGTTGTTACTTGGTTTGCCTCTCCCCTCTTGTAATAGTGACTTTTGATGAACAGAGATTATACATTTTAATATAGTCAGATTTATCAATATTTTGCTTTGTAGTTAGTACTTTTGTGTTTGACCAGTCTTTCCCAATTTTCAGGTAATGAAGGTATTCTCTTATAATCTTCTGGAAACTTTATTATTTTGCTTTTTATTTTTTTATCTTATCTACCTGGTATTGATTTTTGTGTGTACTGTGAGTTAGGGGTTTGCAGTATTATGTTGTGGTTGAAGTATATGAAGAAGATTTAGCCTCACACAGATAAGTAGTTAGCATAGGGAGAAGAATTACAGCTTTTCAAATAATTGTGGATATTCTTCTTTGATATTACACCAAAATTCGACAAGTGGTTGTTTCTTTGTGGATTGTGGTAGTGTGGGATCTGAAGCTGTATCAGTGAACTTTTTATACTTAGTTAAATTAAAATCATTTGTCTCTTTTGCATTTGGACTGGGTCTTTTACCTACGCATCATTTCGCAACATCATCCATTGGTCAGATGGAAAGTATTGGTTCACTGACTTATGCAGCTCTTCCAAATATTGACACACTTCATTGTATAATATCAAAAATGACATTTAAAAATATCATCACTGAACTAATCAGAAAAGTCTTTTTGAATTAGGAAACAAGCTCATGGTGGCAGATATATGTTTTCCAAAATTTTAATTTTTGCCTGAAAGCTTAAATTTTATCATTGGCAACACATACTCTCATTTGGCTCCCATGAAATGACAGGCTCACTTGGTTCAGTTTTGAGAAAATATCTGTCAGAGATCCAGGTCTGAATAACCCATAGTTTGTCAATTGTTCAAGTAAAAATGGTGTTCCATGAAAAAGTGGTTAGTTCAGCTCATCATTTCAGTAGTTGCACAAATGCTTTTCTTGGAGATGACCATAGTATTTTTGTGTGTGGTAGAAATGCTTTATGCATACTTTCTATTTTGTCACATAGAATGTTAAAAAGACATATTCTTTTAAAAATATTCTGAAGGCTCGAGATTTAATAAAATTAATAATTTTTACCGCTTCATCAAGGACATTCTTAACTGAGACTGATTTTTGTTCACTGAGAATGCATGGTCATGAAGATACAATTTGGTGACATCTTAAGTGAGACTGGCTTTTATTTTGAGTTCAGGGTCATGAAGAGTAGGATGAGACAGTTTGGTTCTTCGTGCTGAGGTGCCAGCACTTTTACCTTCCATTGCTTTTGCACTATTAGTGCAAATGTCATTACAGTGAAAAAGGGAAATGAAGTTTTAGAATTACTATGTATAATTACAGTTTTGACTTTGCAGATCCCCTGAAAGAATCTCAGGGATCAAGGTTTGTGAATCACGCACTTTAGAACTGCTACTTTATTGAATTAAAAGAGGTTCCCTAAGCATTTTTTTCTTTAAATTTTATTTATTTTGTTGTTGCTGAGAATATACACAGCAAAACATACACCAATTCAACATTTTCTACATGTACAATTTAGTGACATTGATTACACTCTTTGAGTTGTGCAACCGTTCTCACCCTCCTTGTCTGAGGTGTTTCTCCCTCATTAACATAAACCCACTGCCTCCTAAGGTTCCTGTCAGTCTTTCTAGTTGCTGTTTTCAGTTTGGTCCCATATAGATCTTAAAAGAACCTAATGCTCAAGGCAGACCTTTTTTACTAGTTAAGCTAAACTGTTGTTCAATTTTAAGAAGATTCAAGGGATATATTTGATTCGAGATTCAAAGATTATCTCACGGCAATAGTTTCAGGGGTTTATCCATCCTCCATGGCTCCAGAGAGTCTAGAGTACATGAGAATTTGAAGTTCTGTTCTGCATTTTCCCCCTTTTGATCAGGGTTTTCTGTGGAGTCTTTGATCAAAATGTTCAGTAATGGTAGCCAGGCACCATCCAGTTCTTTTGGTCTCATTCATGACAAAGGGGGCAGTTGGCCACACATTCCATATCCTTCTCCTGTTCCTGACTCTACTTTGTTGTTCCAGGAGAATAGAGACCAATTCTTAAGCATTTATTTTAGCATTTGTCTGTTGGTGGTGTACTCTCAATTATTGTCTGAAATTCATTATTTTGACTTTTCTCAGAACTATTTTCTTTGGGTATAAAATTTTAGATTGACATATTTGATTTCAGCACCCTGAATGTATCTTTCAGCTGTCTCTGGAAGCCAGTTGTTCTTGTTGAGAAATTATGTGACTTTTATGAAGATAATCTTATCTTTTTTTGAAAGGTATTCTGTTTTCTGTAGCTTAACTATGATGTTTCCAGATATGGATTTTACTTCAGTTCTGGAAAACTAGATTCTCTGCTGTTATCTCTTCAAATACGGCTTTTGCCCTATTCGCTCTCTTCTTTCTGCAATTCCAATTAATTGTGTATCTTCTCACTGTTTCCTGTATATCTTCTTTGCTCACTATATCCTGTATATCTTCTTTGCCGTATTTAAATTAATCTAATGAAGAAATAGTCAAAATATAAAAGTATATTTTCTGTGTTCAATTTTTTAAGTTTATTTTGTGGAAAAACTCAAACACATTAAAAAGTAGACAGAATAGTAGAATAGCTTCCCATTGAAATCATCTGCTAGCTTCAACAATTATCAGCTCCTAGGTAATCTTGTTTCATTTATAATCCCACCCGTTTTTCCATTCTTTTGTATTATTTTGAAGCAAATCCCAGACACTATCATCTGTGAATATTTGAGTCTATCTTTCAAAGAGAAAGACGCTTTATAAAATATTCCAATTGTCTTATAAATGTTAATTTTTTAAGTAGTTGTTTAAAACAGGATCCAAATAAGGATCCATACATGGTGATTGATATGTCTCTTAAGCCTCTCTTAACCTCAGGATCCTCCACTATCTTTTTTTTTTTTCCCTTGCAATTTATTTGTTGATGAAACTGGATAATCTGTCCTGTAGAGTTTGCCACAGTCTGAATTTTGCTGAGTGCATCCCCATGGCATCATTTAATATGCATATCTGTCTTCCATACTTTCTGTAAATTGATAGTTGGATCTAGATCACTTGATCAGATTTAGGTTCATGCTTTTTTTTTTTTTTTTTTTAAGACAACTTCATTGGTGGGTAGTATATTCTTTCATCAGGATCAAGAGACACATAATGTCTGATTGTCTTTTTTGTGATGCAAACAGCCACTGATGATCAATGTTTAATTGATCCTTTAATTCATTAGAGATCTTAAAATGATGACATTCTAATTCTATCATTCTTTATCAGCTGAAATACTTCAGTACATAAAAATTTCTTATCTACTATTTGGTTACCCAGTGGTATAGTTCGTATACGAAGGGCAGAATAAATGCTTGATTTTTTTTCTTTTATTTACCAGTTTTCAAAGTAATAAATTGGTTTGCTAGCATCCTCCAGTATTGACCAACTGGGGTTTTTAGGTTTGTTTTAGTGTCATTATAAATGAATGGATTTAAATATATCTGATGCATTTCCAAATATTCTTTAGTTGATATAATTTGCTCTGTAAGAATCATTTAGTGTTAGGATCAGGAGTTAATACAGATTATTTCTGTTTTATTCTAGTTTGCATTTATGCCGAATCCTCAGTGAAAATAAAAGCCATGATAGTTCAACTTATAGAGGTAAGACTTTTAAAAGTATAATAGCTATCATTTTTTAGCTTGATGAGAGTTAATAAATATCCTGCTTCCCATTCATTGTTATGATTGAAAACAAAAGATATAAGATAGTTCACATTATATAAAGCTTTTACATATATATATATATTACTGTCAGGGTTAAAACTATGGTTATAGTAAACTATACATCTCTATATAGATATTATTTGACCTGCATTGTAGTTATATGATATCACTTGACTTTAATTGGGACTTGGTATATTAGCTGAATTTCAGCAGTTGCTGCTTATATTAAAAATTACACAGGCTAGCTATCAATCATAAACAGAAAAGAAAAACTAGCGCAGAAAGAAAACTGTCCTGATCTTGTTTGCACTGCAAAATTTCCAGAAACTGAGGTTCAGTGTTTTTCCTAAAGCTAGTTACATTTAGGTGGTATCTGGGGATCTTATTAAAGCAGTTGCCATGGAAAACATTAAAAGCAAAGCAGTTGTTTACTGCACATCACAAATACGATTTATTAAGTAAAATGTTATATAATTAAACAGGATGTAAACTTCCTTAGTTTTAACGGATTTTACCATTTACCATTTATTGATTTAAAATTGAGTATATGGATTTGGAAAAAGAGAAGGTTAAAAAATAAGAGCAATTATATTTAGTTAGTTTAAAATGTTTTCATATGTAGTTTTTATTGGGTGTAGATCTCATATTTTCAATCTGGAAAGTTGATTTTTTTTTATAACCAATATTCTATTTTAAACCAAACATTATTAAATAACATTTATAATTATTTAAATTATACCTTTATGAATAGAAGATTAAGAACGGAATGTTTTTCTGTAGATAAATTTCCTTTTGTTTTATCAAAAATTGAATACACGTTATCTATGAGAGGTTGTGCTTTTTAAAGAACATTTGGATATTTGAGTGGAAAGCATTTTTTAACAAATGAAAGAGCAGTCTTTTCTACCATTTGAGTAAGACCTGTTTTAAGACTTAACATCCCCAGCCACCTGCCCCCTAAGATAATTCCTTACAAATCGTGCTTATAAAATTGTATGATCATTCATAAAGATTTCTGAGGTTGCTGTAATGCCTTATTGTTTGAATAAGTCAGCTGACTGTCAGAAGTGTAAGAAAGTACAAAAGACTCCTTTCTAAAAACACTTGGATACTTAAGTTTTTTTTTCTTCCCCATGTTTGAAACAAGTTTTTAACTATGTAGCTAACTTCGATATTGTTAGCTATTGAAACTTTAAGCGGCTCAAATGAGAAAAAGAATTTTCAGGAAGACTAAATAGCAAAACGCAAGGTGACTATTCTTTCAGTTTTAATGGGATTGTGTGGTTCTTTAATTTTAATTGGGTTATTGTTAATTTACCTGGTTCTGATTAATGTATGAAACCAAAAATAGTTCTGAGTATGGTGTCATTGGCTTGTCCCTACCTGCTTCCTCAACACATACACCCTTTGCCTCATCCCTGCCAACAATCAAGCTTTGATCTGAGGGCCCCAGTTTGTAGTCCATGCAGGAAACTGTCATTTTTTCCGTATCTCCTTTGTTTTATCTGGAGGGGATTGAGTTTGGGTAATGTTTCTTCTTGCCCTTTCCCTTTCTGCCTCTCCCTTAAGCTAATTTCATTTCAGACAGGCAGTTTCCCTGTTTCTGTGGATTGAGTGCAACAGGAGTTCTTAACCCTGGACTTTTCAATGAACACTTAGAGAACTTTACTTGTGAATTAGGGACCTTTTTTTTTTTTTTTTTGCTACCTTGTGGATTACAATGTGACTGTTTCGTATGTCACTTTAGTGTCAGCAAAATGAGCCTGGCCATTTGTTCTCTATTTTAATCTCCTCCTGTGATTAAGATTAGAATTCCCTTAGCCCCAGTGAGCACTAGAGAATTCTTATGGGAATTTAGGTTATGCTGATCAAATGTTTTGTACTTCTAAAAGTGATTACTTTTTCAAAAAACGTAGTTATCTGGATAATTTTAAGTAAGTATTATTTTTTATAAATTATTTTATTAATGAAAATGGAAAATGTGAAATTGATCTTGTATTTTTACCATACCAACAAATAGACCTTTTCCCTTTGCATTTTAGTTTTTATCTGTAAAAACCAAAAAACCAAACCCGTTGCCGTTGAGTTGACTCCGTTTCCAAGGAGTGGCTGGTAGATTTGAACTGCCGACCTTTTGATTAGCAGCTGAACGCTTAATCACTGTGCCACCAGGGCACCAGTTTTTATGTATATTGTTTATTTATAAGCATAATGAAGGCATAGTTGTGAGAAAGGCAGACTATATTTAATAATGAATTGTTCATGAGGGATTGGGATAATCTGGCTGTATTTCTTTTAGCAAGTGATTTAATGGACAAATTAATTTCATTGCAAAATACTATTTTCATTAGTTAAAGGGGGATTGATATAAATTTTGATTTCTATTATGTTCCTTTTTTGTGACTAGTAGCCAAATCAGGGGAGATCTTAAAATACTTGATTTTTTACTCGCTGTTTTCTTCTTAAAGATTTTTGATTCCCCTCTAAAGGTGATTATAAATAGACTTTTACAGTAGAGATTTTAGAGCTACTTGTTTCCCACTTTTAATGAGAGGAAGGAGGTAAAGGTTTTAGTTTTGTGGACTAAAGAAAAAGATGGCTGGAAGGAGGTGTTCACCTGATCATTAACCCCTCTCCCCCAAAAAAAGTTCCTCTCCAGGAAAAGGTATATGGTAATTAATAGTGCATGGGGCTACTTGTGGTTAACAGTTCTCAGAGAACTGCCATTTGATGTATATGTGTATGTATGTGCCGATAGAAAAAGATAAAAAGAAATTTAGATTGGGTAAATTTTTGACAGTAGGATATGGAGAAAACTCGGTGTTATATTTACTTCTGTCATTGTAGCCCTGAGATTGAATTAACTATAATCTGAATAAATTTAGAAAAAAATTGTGAAATCTGCTGGTGATGGAAATGGTTAGTTTATATCCACTTGCTGGAGTTCTGTGTAGTCATTAAAAATAATTATAGAGATTTAGGTTGCATGAAAGAAATGCTTTTAAAAGTGTTTGGTGGGGGGAATCAGAATACCAAATGATGTGCACTCTGAATGCAAATATGTAAAAGACTGAAAGGAATGCTCAAGCAATAGTTATGTTAATAGTAGTGGAATCATTTGACTTTTTTTCATCTTTTAGTGTTGTGTTTTTGTGAATATAAAAGAGAAAAATATGCCAGAGGAAAGCATTAGAAGTATATTTTTTATTATAATTATTGATGTTTATAACAATTCTGAGAAGTGGGAAATACATAGATTTTCTCCCAAAGAGTCGACCTTTCACTATTTCTTCTTTGTTCAACAGATTTCCAGCAAGCTCTCTATGAGTTATCATACCATGTCATTAAGGGAAATCTAAAGCATGAACAGGCATCTAATGTTCTTAATGACATTAGTGTAAGTATATATATTTATAAATTTAATAATTGTTACATATCTCTTTTTGCCTTGAAGTGCATAATTTGCATTTCTTTTATTAGAAATTATAGTAGTGAATGTTATAAGGTAATATTGGTAAGCCATTTTGACTAGACAGAAATAAAGATATTTTTGTCTTTTTGTCTGATTGTGAGTAAAGCAGAAAATGTTAGGTAAGCTGGGAGAGGGGGAAAGCCTGCATTATAATGAAATCAGGGTAGCCTTAATGTAAAAATGCTACCGTGAAAAATAAGTTGGCTAGAATGTTTTTCTCCCAATATAGTATATCTAAGTATTCACTTTTGTTTGTGCTTATGTTTGGAAATTAAATATATTTATTAAATTGAGGATTAAATTATTTTAAATTAAGGTTTCACAGCTCTCACATTCACTTGCTGCCAGTTTTCTTCTGTTTGCTGTTTGTTCTAGAAATAACTAGATTTTTAAAAAATATTTAAGTGATTATTCTGTTTTCAGTTATTAGAGAATTTAAGTTAGATTCAGACCAGATACATTCTGTGGTTGTTTGATATTTGAATTAGAAGATGGGCTCCCAAATTTAAGGGTGTTTATTGTAAGGAGTCCTGGTGGTGCGTTGGTTAAAGTATCAACTGCTAACTGAAAGGTCAGGAGTTCAAAACTGCCAGTGGCTCCGTGGGAGAAAGATGTGGCAGTCTGCTTCCTTAGAGATTTACAGCCTTGGAAACCCTGTGGGGTTGATATGAGTCGGAATCGACTTGATGGCATTGGGTTTGGTTTTGGTTTATTGTAAATCAGTAGTTAAATTTGGAGTTTTACGGTGCTTTTTTTTTTTTTTTTTAACACATTCAAATCTGTTAATAGGCTAGTTTTTGAACTTGTATAAAAAATTATCTGCCTACTTGAGAACAGCTATTTTAATAAGTATGACTGAGGTGGGACCTGGAGCTTGAAACTAAAATCTGATTGACAATTAAGGTTTTTTCATTCTGTAAATTGGGTGTCAGTATAGGTTTTAGTGTGTTTATAGAATCTGATTCTAATTCTTTTCCCATTTACTGAAAGTGCATAGTCTGGATGAACTTTATGTGTGTCTGTTCAGTTCTTAGTTAGCTTCCCTTTTTATTTGAGTCCTTGGTGCTGTGTGTAGTTCTGCAACTGATTGCCTTTGTCATGGCTTTCTCATAGTACTATATTACTGTTCCATGTCTTAGCTACAGAAGCACATCTTGTGTGTCTCCTTGCAGCTGCTGGTTTTTCTCGAGAATTATGCTTCTTTCTTTTAGTCCCTGACAGTAGGCTGATTTTAGTGTTGCTAACCAAAAAATTAAACCCCCTGCCGTCGAGTCAATTCCGACTCATTGGTGATCCTATAGGACAGAGTAGAACTGCCCCATAGGGTTTCCAAGGCTGTAATCTTTATGAAAGCAGACTGCCACATCTTTCTCCCACAGAGCAGCTAGTGGTTTCGAACCGCTGACCTTTTGGTTAGCAGCCGAACACTTAACCACTGAGCCACCAGGGCTCCTTTAGGGTTGCTGTACAGTGCCAGAAAACTACTAATCACAATAATTGAACTATGATCCTTACTAGTGGAAAATGGCTTTACAATTGGGAATAGGGGTGGGGGAAGTCAGGAGAAGAATCTAGAATAAATGCTGAAGTTTTCATCTAGAAATTAAGGGAGAATATTGGGACAGCTTCTCCAAATTCTCCAAAGACTGTAAGCATTAATGAATAAAGAAAATAGAGATATCTTTTATGGGACAACAGCTTATAATTTATTTTGTACTTTTTAGATTTCTGTTTATCTTATACCACTTTTTTTTTTTGCATGGATCAGTGTTGATTCATACGTGAGCACAGTTTTTAAAGTTTTGGATGAAAAAATGCACCATTTTTTAACAGTCTTGCTTTAGGGTAGGTGTGAGGTACTCTAAATTCAGGTGGTTTCTAACATAAAACCTCATTGAGAAAATGGTATTTATTTGTGTTCTTTAATGTTTCCTGAGGTGCTTATTTAGGTTTCTGTTTTTTATCAGATTTTTTTATGGTAGACATTTAAACATTTTTTCAACATTTATCTCTCTTTGTTTTCTCTGTGTTATGAGGCTTAACTTGAAGAATTTTAACGTTTGTCAACATAGTGGTGTTGGGTTTTTGTTTATTTTTAAGTTTTACTGAAGAGTGATATTTTGAAACCATAGTACTTGCTGGTGTTCTATTTACCGTGAATGATTATATTTTTAAAATTAGGAATTTCGTGAGGATATGCCCTCCATTCTTGCTGATGTATTCTGCATATTAGGTAGGTATTAGCCTTATTTAACCTGTAAAATAAGTGCTGTTTGATAAATTAATGCGTTATGTTAAATAAAATGCTTTTTTTTAAACTAAGAATTTTACAAATGTACAAATGATTCTGCAAATTTAGAAGTATATACATATATATATATTTACAGAGAGTAGTATTGTAAACCTAATGGCAGTATAAGCACTTTATTAACTCGCTTTAGAGTATAATTCAGGTGGTTTGGGTCTTTAACAATGTATATTTATATAAAGTTGAGCTACATTAGATCATTTCAAGTAAAGAAGCCAGATTTTTTTGACATTCGGTTAGTCTGAGTTATCGAGATCGTAGTAACCAAATAATCTTATTCAGTTTATGTTATCAATGAATAGTGTCAGAATCTCAAATTTAGGACACTCAAGAGATATTGCTTTTGTACTGTTCTGATTCTTCTTAATTTTAGAAGGAGCAGGAAGAACCAAAGTAATCAAAAATACTTTTGTTTTGAGGATGAGGAACTAGCTTTGGAAATAGCAACTTCTCTGTCCAGAAAAATATTAATTTATGCAAGATAATAAAAGAATATTTCTTTGACTTAGAACAAAAGGTAGTGTTCCTCCATGGGAAGAATGGATTTAAAAAAATATGTGTTATAAATTTATTTAATTTTAGATCTGGATTAAAATAACTTTGAGCACAGTTTTTCCCATCAGTCTTGTGCTTTCTATAACTTTGAGCCTAATAGAAAACATTGTGAGACATTATAATATTTACTTTAAAGTAAGACATCCTCTGAGGGTTTGTCAGGCTCAAATGAATTATTAGCTCATTAATTCTAACTCCTAGAATTGGATAGATTACTTAAATGTCTTACCGAGAGTCTGGAATTTGATCTCAATAAATAAAAATGCTGGGTGCTTGATCCTTCAGGACATTTAAGATCTCATAACAGTAGTAATGTTGGGAAGAGGTCAAATCGTATGTGGGCTGTGAGTGATAAATGAAAAGAGCAGATAGTTGGTGGGGTGAACATATGTCCCAGTTTGTCTTGTTTCCCTTGGCATAATTATTAAAAGTGCTCTTTTCACTGTAAAAACTGTAAAGTATGTGATCAGCTATCTATTGATTTATGCCGTCAACAACAACAAAACACCTTTTAAGCTTAATTTTTGAAGCAAGCACTAAGATGATATTACATTATGTTACAAATAAATACAAGACAAAATAAAGTTCAATTAAAAAAATTGTTTGCTTTTACCATAAATTTGTAAGACTGAAAGACTGATTTGTAGGTAACATTTTGTAGAAGCTATTGTTCCTTGAGTGTCAGAAGTATATTTTATGGCTTTCTTTGAGTAATCATCAATTATCAGCTTACTAGTTCTGGTAATTTCTTTTCTTTATTATTTTATTAGGGTATATTTTTCCCTTCATAGTTACTTAGTAATATCATTGGATTAAGGTGAATTATTGTCAAACGTCATTGCTTTTTACTAGTAACATGAATTCATGAAGATGATGCTTGGTTGCTCTTGGAAAATTTCTTTTAGCCTGTCCAATCCATTTTTACAAGCAAGATTAGGACGGCAAACTTGGAAAGAGAATTTCCCTCACCTGCCCCCTCACTCACCTACCCCTACCCTTGGCAGAAAAAAAAATGATCCAAGGGTGACCTCAGACCAAAGCAGGGGAATAGGAGTAAGAATGCGAGCTGTCTATAATAGTGATGATGATAATGATAATGATAATGTAGGTGCCGTTTTGGAGTACCTTCTATGTTCTAGGCATTGTGTTAAGCATTTAATTTCATTTTTTAAGAAATTTATTTTGTTGTTGAGAATATACATAGCAAAACATAAACCAATTCAGTAGTTTCTGCATGTATCATTTAGTGACATTGATTACATTCTTTGAGTTGTGCAACCATTCTCAACCTCCTTTTCTGAGTTGTTCCTCCCCCATTAACATAAACTTAACTGTCCCCTAAGGTTCTTATCTAATCTTTCAAGTTGCTGTTGTCAGTTTGATTCTATATAGATAGTTCTTTAAAAGAGCACAATGCTAAGGGCAGACATTATTTACTAGTTAAGCTAAACTATTGTTTGGTTTTAAGAAGACTGCAGGGGATATTTTTGGTTTAAGGTCTAAAGATTATCTCAGGGCAATAGTTTCAGCGGTTACTCCAACCTTCATGGCTCCAAGAAGTTTCGAGTCCATGAGAATTTGAAATTCTGTTCTGCATTTTCTTCCTTTTGATCAGGATTCTTCTATGGAATCTTTGATCAAAATGTTCAGCAATGGTAGCCAGGTACCATCTAGTTCTTCTGGTCTCATGGCAAAGGAGGCAGTTGTTCATGGAGGCAGTTAGCCACACATTCCATATCCTCCTTCTATTCCTGACTCTCCTTCTTCCTCTGTTGCTCCAGGCGAATAGAGACCAATTGTTGTGCCTTGAATGGCCGCTTGTAAGCTTTTAAGACTCCAGGCACTACACAGTGAACTAGGAGTTAGAACAGAAGCACTAAATGTATTATTAGGCCAATTAACTGGGATTTTCAATGTAACCATGACCCCAGACCACTAAACCAAGAAACCAAATCCCACGAAGTTTTTGGTTGTACATAAGCAGCTTTTAATTTCATTTTAATCCTCACAGCAATTTATAGAAGGTAGATCGGAAAAATGAAGCTCAGAGAAGTAGTGATTTTTCAAGACCATGTTGCCTACACGTCAGGATTTGAACCTCGGTTTCCTTGGCTCCAGAGCCCTTGATCTTTTTGTTACATCATGTTGTCTTTCTTTCTAATATTTTATGTTAAAGGGAAATAATTTCCAGGTTAAGATAACAACTTCCTTTAAATAGCCTAATCATGTACCTGGGAGACCTGAGAGCTATATTAACCTGAAAGAGAAATCTGATGTAACTTGATGGGCTGATGGGACCTCTGAGCTGGATTAGGTAGTTGGTGATTACTGGGGGCTAGAGTTGGAAATGGCTAAGGGCTTTTTGGTAAATTCATAGGGGAAAGTAAAAAGAACTTACTAGGAGCTGATTCAGGGTAGAGAAGTCAGGGATAGTGAATGAGTCTGTTAGAATGGTTTTATGAGTTAGAACAAAAAGAATAAAAGAAGCAGGAAAAGCACAGTTGGGTTAATAAAATCTTCTGTTCATTGGTGAGGTAACTCAGCTAAAAAATTTACTGAGGTCCTATTAAGCATTTCCTATTATGGCCAGAACCCAGTGATGGGTATTTTAATCAGGTCACATGGCTAAAATGAGAGCAGACTTGACTTGAAGCAGAAGAGGATGAGCCTGGTACCCAGGTGCCCTGATCTTAGGGACCTGAGAGGTAGATCGTAGGGTTTAGGGCCCTGGAGGATAGATAGATGTTGGTTAAAGAAATGAGCACAGTTTAGCCCTGACCCATTGAGATAAGTATCCTTGAAGTTCTAGGCTGAGGAGGGACCAGAAGACTAGATAGCAAAGTGACAACAGGAATCCCTGGAAGGGATTGATTGGATACAGATAAAAAGCCTCAATGAGAAATTGAGATTGTACTGCAGTTTACATTGCATACAGTTACATCCTAAATTTCCCTTAGTATGCTCGAGCTGACTGTGTGCTTAGCTACAGTGGCCAGGATGTGGAGAAATGGCTCTGTCCAAGAAGGGAAAGAGAAAGGCCAGGAAAATGTGTACATGTTTGAGGATAAATCCTCTTCTCTTTCACGTCTCAGTGATGGCAGTAGAAAGTAAACTGAAGCAGAGCAGTGGTAGGTAGGGAATCTTTTGTTTGGGAGAGAACCCTTAGAGGACAGTTTTTATTACTTCATTACTTCTTTCTATAAAAACAAAAACAAAACTGTTGCTGTCAAGTTGATTCAGACTCATGGTGACCCTGTGTGTTACAGAGTAGAACTGCTCTATATGGTTTTCTTGGCTGTAATTGTTACAGAAGCAGATTGCCAGGCCTTCTGAGGTGCCACTGAGTGGGTTCGAACCAACAGTTTGTGCCAGCCTGGGACCTCTATGTTATTGTGTGCCATTGAGCTGATTCCAACTCATAGCGACCCTATAGGACAGAGTAGAACTGCCTCATAGGGTTTCCTAGGCTGTAAATCTTTATAGGAGTAGATCGCCAGGTCTTTTCTCCTGCGGAGCTGTTGGTGAGTTTGAACCACTGACCTTTCGTTTAGCAGCCGAGCTCTTAACCATTGCACCACCTGGGCTCCTCCTCTTTCTATAGTGCATTCTAAATTATCAATTGACTTTTTAAATAGGGTAATAGTATGTAATCAATAAAAGCAATTATCTGGAGATCAGCCTTGTAATCCTGCCAATCCTGGTTGAAATTTCTGATGCTTGACATTTAGAACTAGTTGATCCTTTACACCTCAAATCAGAAAATTGACTAACTTTCTGAATAATTTACTGAAACTCAAGGAGGTCTCAGTTTTTTTTAACATTTCAGTAGGAAAAAAATTAAAATCTTGAATAAATTTGTTTACTGAGTAGAATTGTAATTCAAAATAGGATGTTAAAAGTATCTTTTAATACTGTCTTTTCATAGTATTGTGGCCAGGTGGCTTGGTTAGAACATGGTATTTGGAACCAAGGTTGCCAAGGTCAAGGGTTTGATCTTCATGAGTAATAAGATCTTAAGAGTTAGAGGACATCTTTGTTGTTACCCAGCTCAGCTTTTCACCCAAGGAAGGAATCTCTTCAGCATCTCTGACATGTGGTCATTTAAACTTTGCTTGAAATTTCCATTTTTGAGAATAGTCTTTTTTTTAAGCTTTGATGCATCCAGTGCCAAAGCAGGTATCTCCTGTATAATTGACTTACATGGATATGTCACAGGTTACAGGGAGCTAGATTAGAGAGCATGGGTCAGTCTCCATTATCAGGAGAAATTCATTCTAGGCATTCATATGCTGCATAGGAAAGGCAGCTCACGTTTACCATAGTTTTAAATTTTTGCAAATTCAGAATGAGACATTTTAAAATTGTATCTTACAGTGCTAGAGAGAGAGTGTAGGAAAAAAACTTTCATTTTTTTCTTCATCATTATAGATATTGAGACAAATTGTTTAGAAGAAAAAAACAAAAGAGACTATTTTACACAGTTGGTATTAGCATGTTTGGTAAGTATTAAAAAATTTTTTTTCCTTTCTAAGTTTTGTATTGAACAGTTGTAACCACAGTTAATCATGTTAATGGAGGAGAATGTTGACATTCAGTTGACCATTATAAGGTGAGGTTTGGGTTTGGATCACATGTTTTGTGAAATTAGACATACTAATTATTTCCATGAAATAGGCATGTTACCATATTCTTTAAACTATTTTTACGTATAAGACTTGGTGATATTCCTTGTTTAGTGTTTTAATAAGTTCTTAACTAAGAAAAAGGTAAGCAATTATAAAGCAAATAGGAAGATTTGGACAGCTTTTAAACTGAGCATTTTTTTATAATCTCTTAGGCAAGGGGAAAAAGATTGGAGGTAGTTTAAAAATAATAAATTCTAGAACTTGTCATAATTATTGTCTAGTAAACCATTTTATGTTCATAAATTTAGAACCAAGGAGAAATGCCATTTCTCAGACCTGGAAGAATGTCCGTGTCTTTGCTGTACTAGAATTTGACTTACAGTAGAAACTAAGGAAGCGTGAAGTACTGTATTATCTTAAGTGAAAGTTCAGTTAAGACAGACTCAATTTTAATCAGAATTTCATCTGTAGTTCTTGTTATTTATGGGTTGTGTATAGCATGCATATTTTTTTTGATGAGATTTTTTAAAGAGCCATATGCTATATATTTCAGTCTTTGGAGAGTTATCATTTTTGTTAAATTGAAGTTCCAGGCCTTTTTATAAATTGTAAGTTTACTGATATATCTGGAATGTGATTTTTGTGTTCTTATTTGGGAAAATTATTTTAAATTTATTTAAAATTGTGGATGCACAGTTGGAATGCTGAGGAATAAATGGCCTTTAATATTTTTTAATACAGTATTTAGTTTCAGACACAGTTCTAAAGGAACGCCTGGATCCAGAAACATTGGAATCATTGGGGCTTATCAAACAATCACAGCAATTCAATCAAAAGTCAGTTAAAATCAAGACAAAACTCTTGTAAGTACATGTATTTTATGTTGCAGATTTAGTAGCTGAGTATGTTTAGGTTCTCATCTAAAGACAAGTTTAAAGATTTTTTCTTTTGTTGCTATTAGCATGTCTTGTGGTTTTTGCTTTCTAAAAGTAGCCTAAGATTATTGATTCACCAGTAAACTTTACCTTTGTGACATTGATGTTAATTTTATCCATATTAGAAGTTAAAGTAATATTCAATGCTTTCATTATTACCAATAAAATAATTTATAACTAAGGCTATATTCTTGGGTATATTCTTAGTCAATGATGGAAATAGTGTTATGTTAATTGTTTCTTGGTATTAGCAGTCTTCTCTTTTTGTGTTACTAGTTTTCCCATGTAATTATTTTTGGGTTGTCTCTTATGAACCATTGTATCTAAAAGATACGCAAAGAGGTAAACTTATAAAACCTATTCTTATGATTGTTGTAAGTTAGATAAGAAAATTCAATGAGTAGAATACACTACTCTTATACAAGCTTGTTAATTGAAATTAATTTTATCCCCTTAATAATGTTTATCTAATTTCAGTTATAAACAGCAAAAATTCAATTTGTTAAGAGAAGAGAATGAAGGTTATGCCAAGCTGATTGCTGAATTGGGGCAAGATTTATCTGGAAATATTACTAGTGATTTAATCTTAGAAAATATCAAATCTTTAATAGGTAAGATATATCTATCTAGTATGTGTTATTATTAAGATAAGTTTTTTAAACTATTGGAGAATATCCATAAAGACAAAATTAGTGCATTGAATATAGTTTTTTTTCAATTAAGAAATGAGAAAAGTTTCTAGCTTATACTTTTAAGATTTTATCAGCAATAATGGGATGATATTTATCAGAAATATTTTTGTCACTGTTACCTATGTGTTTGTACTAGTTCCTGCTCTCTAGTATGTCTATCTTTAATTTTTTAGTATTTCTCAGTCATTTTATAGAGAGTAGAAGATAAATAAGCAAATTTGAACATTTAATAAAATCTTCATTGAAATCTTGAAATTTGGAGATATATAGTTCTTTTGAACTTGATTTTAAAAATATCTTTAAAAGGGACTTTGATACACATCTTATTTTATCTTTCCAGCCCTATAAGGTAAGTGCAGTAGGTGTTGTAAAAGTATATAATTGATATGACAGTGTTATTCTACCTACCTTTTAAATAGAATTTCTTTAGCATTATTTTTTTCTTTTTATTTGCATTGGGCATTTGGAGGAAATAGTTGACATCTATAAAAAGTAGAAATGACTATAGAAAATTATAATAATCCTAATTTTTCAAGGATGGAAAGGGTTTTGCTATTATTTATTAGGTGTTAGGCTGTCCTAGGGAAGAATTGATAATATCTAAGCGTCTTAGGTTTTGAGACCTATCGTAGAAGTCCTATTCCCTGCCTCACTGGTTATATTTTAGGGGATGCCTATCCTCAGTTTCTCAGTTCTTTCTCTCCATTTTTGGAGTTTATGTATGTCTCCCGAAGAGAGAGGAAGTGACCCAATCCTTATTCCCTTTTTCCAGTGCTCTGTGTAGGGACCCAAATAAAACTATATTTTCTACAGGCATCCTGTTTTTAGCTTAGCGTTTTGGTGGCCAGCAAGTATAGAAGGTAAGGAGTTTTTAGTTTAAATTTACCCTTTGCAGTAAGCTTAATTCTGGTAGCTGATCTACTCTCTTTGCTACTTCTTCCTTTGTCAATTTGAGTGGTGCCCCCCCCGCCCCGGCCCTTGCTTACTTGTATGGCAGTGACTCATTTTTGGATCCTTCTGTTGGGATTCCTTTCCAGGGTAGGCTCTACATTTTTCCTACAGCATTTTGGTCTAGCTTCAGAAGCATGTCAGTACCGCTTTGCTATATACTTGCTTTTCCTTGTGTCCTGCCGTGTACTTAGTTAAGATGGTATTCCCCATATGTTGGTCTAGCCTAGATGTTGTATGGCTAGTTTGCCCTTCTCTTTTAAGAAGAGCCAGCTATTGCTGTAAGAGTAAATACTTTTACATCTCACTCTTATGATACAGGAGCATTTTAGGTGAAGAGGAAACCCTCATTAGTATTATACCAGATGTACTGTTTGTGTGTAGAGTGGGTGGTCACTTAACTGCCTAGTTTCCCCAGGTTTCCACCTGGGTTGTATATATGGAGCACTCTGTGTATCATGCCTACACTGGTCTCCTATGGCTTTTTCCGTAGACTGAGAGGTAGGTGGATACCTTGCTGAGAAACATAGGGAAAACAAAATAAGGATATAAAGTAAACACAAACAAAAGAAAAAAAATTGAGTAATTTACATAGCACAGAATTTTTATTCTAAGAAAACTAAAGTTTAGTTGCAGAATTTTTAGGCTGATACAGTTTACTGGGTGCACAGAAGCTGGTTCTTTTCCTGACTCTGTCTCTGATATACAGAGGGCTTCAGGGATTTGTTCACATCTGGGCTAACATTGAACTTCTGGCAGGAGTCAGCAAACTTTTTTTGTAAAGGGCCAGATAGTAAATATTTTAGGATTTGTAGGCCATATGGTCTCTGTCCAACTACTCAGCTCTGCTGCTTTAGTATGAAAGCAGCCATAGACAGTATATAAATGAATGACTGTGTGTTTCAGTAAAACTTCATTTATGGACACTGAAATTTGAATTTCATATAATTTTCATGTGTCACAAAATATTCTTTTGATATTTTTTCAACCTTTATGTATTTTCTTTTTCATTGTTGATTTTGTGTTTGCTGAGTGTTTATATTTTTCTAGTTTTTTATTTTGACTTGTAGGATTTAGTTTCCTTTGTGGTTACCTTAATATTTACCCCTATTTTTCT